CCACATTAGGTACATTTTAGAAAATATAAAAAAAAAAACAAAAAAAAAGTTTTACTTTAATTAAGTAATGACGTAAAGTATGTATTAATAATTAACTTGAGCAAAAAAAAATATAAGGTCAAAAAAACTCCTCTATAGTTCCCTATAGACCCCATGTGTCAAACACAAGTCAGGCCCATGGCACAATCCTATTCGGCCCACAAAATAATTTTAACGCTCTATTATTATTAGTCCCCAGCATGCACTGCAACATAATGTGCACTTCGAGTCCCTTCATTCAATAACAATCTATGGGCCAGCTGTTACACAAAAAAGAAAAGATACCTGGTGTCCAGTTCAAGCAGACAGGCAGTTTTTAAAAACCTCCTGGGGACATTTAAAGAGGTTTAACAGTTATCTGTAGGTAATGTAGTCTAGCGTTTTAGATAAAACAATATATCTTTAGTTAAAATTATTTTTGAATAGTTCAAGTTTTCAGCAAAAGTATATCCACTTTTTTGCGGATTGACACTTAAATGCAGTGTCAGACAGCCAATTAGTTGTGGATGTATTGTTATGTACACAACACATGAATGTTTGGTAGTACTCTTCTAAAGATCTAAAGATCTCCAAAAGCTCTGGGGTATAAAGTTAAATGGCGCCTTAAAGTTGTTAAGACGACATTGCTGATAATGTAGACTATAATTAAAATTGCAGCACCTGCGATTTGAAAGTTGGACTGCAATTGTGACTTTAAGCCAGCATCTATCAACAGAGAATGAAGTTTGCTAGATGATATTCTTCCTTTCTGTGTCTTTTTTTGTCTAAAATAAAATGCTTAAACTCATGGAAGTACATGGAACATATTAAGCGTGACTAGTTTCTATCCGCCTCTGCTCTTACGTTTGATGCTGCTGCTGAAGTCCTCTTCCATCCGTTCCTTTTCCACTTCTTCCCCATCATGACACAGTTTAGCCCGTTTCTCCAAGGACTCTGTTCTGTCAGGCAACGTTAGTCTCTTCTGCATCAACAAAGAACATGACATTTGTTCATTTATTCTAGTTTCTACTGCAATGCCATAACTGTCATGCTCAAACTACAGTGTGAACAACTACCAACTATCTAATCTGCATGCAAGTTATAAGCACCCTGACAAACCCTTCAGATTCTCCCAGGAAAGGCCCAGTTTTCACTGCCCTTCTGGTTCCTATCACCACCACTGTAAACAACTCTGACTCTGTTAGTTTCTCTAGGACGGAGCATTTCACACCAAACCATTCTGAATTAATTTTCTTGACGTTAATCATTTAATTATGCAGAAATTTTGGAATATCAGTGAAGTTCCCCGTTAAGGTATCTAGCTACCTATGAAATGGTACATAGTGACACAACTAAAGTCAACACCTTCAGCACCCAACGTTGGCAAATAGGGTTATAAGGTCCAAAACAGCGAGCACAGGCATAAACACATCACTGAAACGCTTTGTATACTTTGTTTACTGCCTAAGAAAGACGAAGCTGAAGTTGGCTGCCTATTAGCTAGCTTCTTGTTCGAATTTTCCCGTTCCACCTTAAATGGTGTAGCGGTTACGTTCTAGAACATGAGGCGCTAGTATGTGACTGCTGCACCATTTAAGGTGGAACGGGAAAATTCGAGTAAGTAGCTGGAGGATAAAAAGCTAACTTCAGCATCGTCTAAGAAAGTCAGTATACTGTTAGCGCACCATGCAGCCCACTTTCCTCATTTGGGATTAAACTCTATGATCTCCAGACCTGAGAAACACTCACCTTCCCTCTGCCTTCCTGAGCAGGACCATCGCAGCTAATCCCAGACCGACCAACATCAGCAGCTTTACCGCTGAAGAACCTGCTAATAGTCGTCTGTGCGCTGGACTTCTTAGCAGTCTTCGCTGCTGATGTCCTTTTAAAATTAGAATGCATATTTACAGCACTAACTGGATGTTAAAAGGCTATTACATTGTTCGTAGCTTCTCCAAACTGCATGAATGGCTTTAATATCTGAAGAGAAGCTCAGCAGAATAAAAGCAGTCCATTTTTGGAGCTGCACTCCAGTTGGCGCGTAAATGACGTTTACTGGTCGTGCACATGTGAAGTCACCGGCTTGTTAAAGAGGGTTAAGGTTGCGCTAAAGCTGCGCAGACTAGTAGTACTATGATCCAAGCTAAAGTGGGACGCTTTTCTGGTAAACATCATAGTAGTCCATCAAAACCACTCACCCCAAATTTAACTATTTAAATGAAATTCATTCATTCGATATTCATTTAATTTCAATTTATACTTCTATACTCAGTCACAAAGTGCTTTCAATGGTTACACTGTATACATGACAATAATATTCAGAAATGTTAACATTCAACAGAACATACTGAGCCTGCATTAAAGTGATTAGATTTGTATCATCACGTTGTAACATATATAGGACCCATATCATAGAATTTTCCTCACATCTTGTAATAAAAGGAGTTTGTTATAGGACAGCAGGAACCAAAGGTCTGAGACCGCTACTGAAAATGTTTGTTTTGCATCTTTTTTAATTTAATACAACATTTTTAATTACAAATTCTATTATCATCATAACAATCTGAGTGAAAAGCATAATCTTTCAAAGGAATATCAGAATTTCTTAGTGTTTGTCGCCCTTCTGACTTAATTACAGTGTTCACTGGAGTTCTGGCAGTGAACTAACAGTGACATAAGTCTCTGATAAGCAAATCAAATAAACCTAAAAGTCATCTGAACACAAGCTTCAATGGAAGAAATAAGATAAATAAAAAAGACCTTTTCATACAAAGGCCTTGACGTGGTAATACACAAAAGTAGTGAAGAAACTTGAATAATTATTCTTCCTTTTACTTTTTTTAACTTTTCTGTGTTTTTCATTTTTTTAAATTTCTAAAACTTCCTGTTGTTTTATTTGCAGGAAACTAAGGGACTAAACATGGGCGTTTTGAATTCATTGTTTTTGTCATGTTAAGAAAACGGACACATTTACATATAAGCACAGATTCAGGCTATACATCAGCTGAGCTCATTCTCATTTAAGTTATACAGAACGCTTCGGTCTGGACAGCTTGCTAAATGAGGCATAATACCAAGCAGTCCATGGGTGTAATCAGAGAGGTTATTTCCAAATATATTAATTAATTAATTAATTCAAAGGTACCACATTATTAACATTATTTTAATAAATATCTTTTCATAGAATATTTCGCTGTTGTCGGAACAAAACCTTGTATGGCCATTTTTGTTGATTTTCAGTTTTTGACATAATTTGAAAAGGCATGTTGGCCTTTATATTGTGTGTAAATTCCATGAAGGATGGACCAAAAGAAACAGCCCAAAATGACTTGGAAAAAAAGTCTGGTTCCATTGACTTAAAAGTAATGTATATTTGTTCCTTCTCCTGTAAAGTTACCATTTTGGAGATATGAGGTTATAGGATATGGGCCCTTTAAAGTTACAATAATGTAAGGTATTTATCAAGTCAATAAAAAACAAAAAAAACATACATTTAAATTCTGCTGTCAAGGCTGTAACAAATGTTTGTCCCAAATGTACTTACTTAAATACTTCACCTTTATAATTCACGAATCTCTACAGATCACACAAATGTGTTGTGTTTATATACTTATTTGTTTTGATTGGCCATTGTTGCATTTTGTGAGTCTTGATGTGTTGTTTATTATTTTTAATTAATTTTGGTCTACAGTTCATTTGTGACTTTATTTCAATGGCTCCTTATGGTTTAACATTTATTTGGCAAAGCAACAGCTCTAGCTACTTCATGTTGAACCATGCCAGTTTTAGAACATTACTGAGCTAAACAGAGCCTGTCTGGTTCCTCTTGAATAAAATAGAGTATAACAGCAAACTTCTTCCTCTTCTTGATTCATTTTTACCTTATAAATTAAACAAAATGACACAAGTGTATGATAAATTCCAAACCTTTTTATTTGTAATAATACAAAAACAAGGCTTTTCACTTCTAAATAGGTGAAGAGTGAACACACTGATGGAAAAGAGTTTTTTTTCCATATCGCTTGAGACAATGACAGTGTGATAACAGATTTCAAGGAACAGAAATCCTTCCCATATTTCAAAATTGCATCTCCATAACTGTGACATGATTCTTGGATTATAACACTGACACTCCACCAGTGATGGTCAAGCTTTTTAACTAACCGCTTCTAACAAGATGCAAAATTCCAAACTCAGAGTGGCACTGCTTAAGCTGACAAACCAGAACGGACATCAACAGATCATTTCAGCTGGAGGCACCACTAATGTTTCACGCAGTGGTCACATTACCTTAATAGACCTAGTGGGATTAAAACACACATTATGGAGAAATATACGATATATTCTTTCTGATGACTGTGATGATGGTGAAGACTATTCTGCTTAAGTGAGGCAAAAGGAGTATTGCATATAATCCTGTTATTGACAGGTCTACAAAAACAACTTGCATCTAATTGTTTCAGTAAAATTGACAAACCCATATTGCTCTTGAAAGCTGCAGTGGTTGCTTCCAAACACTGAGTATTATTCCCAGAAGGTCATGCTTGAAATAAGCCTGAAGCCACAGTTTTACTGAGTAATGGGAAAATGCATGATTGACAATGAAGTGGTTGAGCTGCATTACTAAGACATGAGGACAGTAACAGTAGTCTTTCTTAAATGCCTAGCTGGACTGAGTGAGTGTTTTCAGAGACAACAGAATGTATTTGGCTTAAGAATAAATAGGACACAAAGGTAAGAGCATTTAAATAAATTCACATATTACAATCTCTAAGCTATTGTTAATCTTGCTAAGTTTACACTTCCAACATTTTCGCTCATTGAATATAGTTCAGACTACTGCAACAGTAGCTTTTGCCCTGCGGTATATCTCTAAACCCCCTGAGCGTACACATCACAACCATTTCCAATACTGAGTGAAAAAACTCACAGGCTCGCAAAAAAGGGGGAGGAAGCAAAGCCATGTTTTTTTTGTTTGTTTGTTTTTTTTTTTTTAAACACACGCACACATCACACCCAAATAGAGAAAAAGTCACAATTACTTTGGTATAATAGTTCCAAGGTAAGAGTTCTGATAAAAGAGTAACTTTCCAAAGTCAACACCACCATAGATGCAACCATTTCCATTTCTATTAAGCTCTGCTCCAAAATCTCATCTACACTCTACTATTGGACATGTGTGGCTATGTGGATTTCATTCATCATACAATGTCATGGCAGAATTTAAAGGGAAGTTCAAATTAAACAACCATACTTTACCAGCACAAACAAATCTACTTTGCAAAGTGCCTACTAATATTGAAAATATTGAACTCTGCATTGCATAGCATTACAGCCAGACTGTTCTAGAGAATTTATTGTAGCAAGATTGTGATATGATTTTTCTGTGCAATCTATTTAAAGAAGCAAAATAAGACATGACATTCATAGCACAAATAATTTATACTTCTCATGATAGACCTTTATACCTGCATCAAGAAACAGGAAATGAATGTAGCAAAACCAATTTAAAAAAGCCACAACTGTGTAAAAATGTTCACAGGAATGAAAAAATGAATTTGCACCAAAACAAATCAAAAAATAAAATATTTTGTTTAAAGGATGCTGATCCAGAGACTATGAGATCCATGTTCAGTCTGGGCATACTGTACCCACACAAGAGTGTTCTGTTATGTATGGCTACAATGATACCGAAAATGGAAGCAAATGCATCTTTAAGAAGGGACTGAGGACAGTAAAGGAGAAAGCTGGCCTCAAGTTCCAGGCAATACTATTATCTGGACAGCTAAAGACACTGCAAAGCTATCACCCAGCTGGAGAATGGGAGCATGTTTCAAATACAAGTCAGTTATTTTCTTTTAGTAAATCAAACATCTACAGATACGTTACAAACTGTCTTCTTTCTTTGCATATGGTGTACACAACCAACAACCTTTCACGGGAGAACAGACCCATCCATGCTCCGCTCACAAATCCTAACCATATTTGGTTTGAACAGTGTTTATAGTGATAATGTAACTGTCATGCTCCACCCAAAAAAGCATTCTTTTGTAGAAACTGATGCTGGGCTGGAGATCTGTAATCTGCAGTTAGAGCACGTTGATTTAAAATCTTATTCATCTTGTATGTGCACAAACTAACATCAGCATGATGGCAAATTCTTGTCATTGTCATTTACAAACTACCTAGTCTTGAACAGCTACAACAATATAGCAGCAGGGTAGCATTTTAAACTAGAAATTCAACATTATGTAGCAATCACGGATGTAACAATACAACACACGTATTACAGCAAACTGTATCGCAGCTTATCATACTGTATCGTATCATTGTATTATGACTAGCATGCTGGCTTGTGTTAATTACGATTACTAGTTATTTTTAAGTGTGTTAGCTTAAGGCTAACATACTAGCATGCTAGCTTGTGTTAGTCACGATTACTAGTAAATTTAAAGTGTGTTAGCTGGGGCTAACATATTAGGTTGTGGCTAGAACATTAGATTTGAACTCTATACAACCTTTTGTTTCAAATACTCTACTTCTATAATGTTAAATGCTCTTATAAATTGAACATGGAAACATTCGCGTGTTAACGTAAGGCATATTTTCAGCCGCTACTTATTCTTTCTATACTGAAAAATGTAGCGAATCGAGACACCACTGTAAACCAAATAACCAATTTTGTGAATTGTTACACCTCTAAAAGCACCAGTAAAGTTACAATTTCAAATTAAGATCACTAAGACTTCTAACAACAGTCTGTGAACAGTTGCTACGAAAGAATGTGTTTGTTGGCAGAGCAAGAATCGATCAATTCTTCCAGATCCATCGCAAAACTCATGACACTTGACACTAGGAGAAAGCATCCTCAAAGAGCACCAGAATAGGCCATAAGCTGTACATGGCAAATTCACAAATGCCTACCACCTACATACTAAAAGACTGAAAATAGCCATTGCATTATTTCTGATGGCACACCACAATATAAGGATTGTATAATGTTTGTGATGCTCTCAGATAATGTAGTTGTTATGGTCTTCCAATGAAGTACTAATGAATGATGCTTGCATTTCCCACAGGAAAGTAGACTTTACAGCAGGAAAAAAGAACTGTAGTTTCACGTACTGTTCTCTAAACAAACATAAAGCTGATATAGGTTATTCATCTCTTACCAGGAACATTCACTTTGATGAGATGTAACCATTTGTAGAGACTAATAACTTTGTTAGATTGATATTTGAACGTCATGGTACATACAAAAGTGTTTCTTGAAGTGTAAACATATATTTTTTCTGGATGCCCGATGTTCATTTACATAAGGACAAAGTATATAAAATAAAATATGTACTTAATATAATTAAAAACAGATCTTATTAAAATGTAAAAAACAAAATAACGAAGCTAGCTTTTAGTTTTTCTTAAGTTACTGTTTACATTTGTTTTTTTACAAGTGTTCTGTTGAGTTATAAATAGATATCTTTCTCTGTATAATATTCAAAACTGAAAATTTCATCTTGTTGTTACTGTTACATTCACTGCTTTCTGCGACTTTTCAACATAAATCATACCAGTCACACAAACACACACACCCACATCTACATACAGACACACACACACACATTCACACTTCCCTTATAAATGAATAACCTTGTCCTCTTTGCAGCAGCTCTGGTGATGAGGTGTGCTCTATGTGCGGTTGAGTGTCTGGAAGATTCTGGAGATTTGGAGCATAACGGGACCAGTCTCAGGGTCATTCATCCATTGCGTGCTGTTCAAAGGATTCTCAAGCATGTCCTCAAAAGCTGTAAAAGATGCATAGGACACCAGCATTAAATCAATGACACAAACACTGGGCAGTCCAGAGGACAGCCTTGCAGGCAAAGGGTTTTTTTTATCATTTAATAGCCCATAATCGATTGTGTTTATCTAACATCGCATTTTGTGTATTTGCAGTGATCTGCCATGAGTACCTTCTGGACATTTTCAGAATAATTGCTTAACACAGCTTTTTATGAGCCTACACTGCTAACGTCAGCCCCTTAGCACTGCTGATTAAGGCCAATATAACTAACAAGGCTATTTTACTGTTTTGTAGCTATTCTAAAGTTCAGCTTCAAGGTTCTTAAGGACACCATGTGTAAAGGAGCATGTTACCTTGGCAAGGCAGTTCCATTCCATTTTTTCACTGTTGATAAGAACCTGGTGCCCGAAGGGTTTAATGCTTCTAAAAGCTACCTAATAAATTATTGCATGAATTGTTTATGAATATGCTGCTTAATACCTAAACCATTGTTTTGTAATAGTTCTGTGAGAAGGCTTTAGCCTAAAACATATATTTTTAACACATTCCTAGAGGAGAGGTACATGCAGGATTTTGTAAAGCAAAATACTCTCAAAAGAATACTTTGTTTTACCATTATCAACATTACATAATCAAACTCTTAAGACACATAGAAGTTTACTGGTCATTCTGGATATAAATAAAATGGCTTTATTTGTAGACATTGTGACCCCTGGTTCCTATCACCACCACTGTACAGAAATCAGAGTCAGTTTCTCTACAATGAACTATTTCACACCAACTATTTCAAACAGCACTGAATGAGTTAAAATGAGTTAAAAAGACATGGTTGAAATTCCCACTTAAGTATTGGGTTCTATAATTTTATTTGTTAATTTTATAATAAAGTAATATATTGCTGCTAATCTCTTTTTCACCCTAATCACAGCCCACATTGCAAAGGGTCAGCATACTGTCCCGTGAGGTTTAAGGGCACCGAAATGGCAACAAAGCAGCAAAACAGAGCGAACAATACAACAAACCAAGCAGATGCATCTTTGCAAAGCACAGCAAATTACATGTGGGCAACACTAACAAAAGCTGACACCATTATCAGAAAGGCACTGCTCATGGCTGGCCATGGAAATAAAAGAAAACACACTCACCTAGTAGTGTTTTAGGGTTAGTAAGTCCCAATTGTACCACAGGGTTTTCCAAAATGGCCTGGAAGAGGGGGCTGTTGGTGTCAATACCCTTATCCAGCTCCTCAGGGGAGGGCTTCCTGTCACCGAGCAACCACTCACACTGCATAAAAGCACACCAACATAATCCAAATGGTAACATAAAGCAAAATATGACACTTTGATGATTCATCCCTATTTGTTTAAAATGTAGTATGAATAAAGAAATTCCATTCTTATAACTAAGGAGCAAATCCTAATCCTTTGATTTGATGACTTACAGCAGCATCTTGCTGGTTATTATTGACACGAAGTGCATCAATCACTTCTTTCTCATCAAAGCCCATCTCCATCAGTGCAATCACTGCCTGCACATAACCACAAAGGTGAGAGTTATAATATTACATTTCCAGCAAAGCACTTAAATACAAAACACAAAGTATAATGTGAAACATTTGCCTTCATTCTCACTTCTTCCAGAAAATGAAACAAGCTTTGGCTCTTGTTGTTGTAACTATACTTTGTTCTATGGCTTTCTCTATTTACAGACTGTGTATGACTAGAAGGCAAATCAAGCTATAGGAATTTCAAGCCTTCATTGAGCTTTGAAACAAACCCAGCAGCCTCATGTCAAACACATGACACTAACCCGTGAGTCTGGCCTGAACTCTCTTTTCCTACGGATCCTCTTGAAGATCTCTGTCAGCTCGTCCTGCTTGGCCTCCTCAGAGCTGGACTGGGAGAGGGTGCGTGCTAAAGCCCCTGTGGCAGAGGGAGAGGGGCCTGCAGACACAGAAGCTGCTGCCGCTGCTGCACCAGCTGCTCCTTGAGTCTCCTGGCCTGGCAGGGGCATGTCCACTGTGGGGTCATCCACATGCTCGATCAGCCATTCCATAGCCTGTGTCACAGACATACTGCAAAAAGAGAAGTCGTGATTAGCGCAAACGACCCATTGCAATTACACCAGTGCTATTTTATTTGCTGCTAATTACTGGAAGCAGTGCTAAAACAAAGATCACGCCTACATTAATCTTTTGAAATATATGGCATTAAGTGGCCCATATCATGGAAAGGCGAATTATATCTCACTGTAATGCTTGAAAGGGGCCATATCATGGAAAGGCAAGTATATATACACTGTTGATGTATCATGCTCTATCCAGTCCAACAGACCATATGCAACCATTTTGAATTCGTTATTTTTGTGATGTCACAAAAACCAACATATTTTCATATCTGCCTACTCAGCCCACAGCAGTTCAGCTCCATCCATTCGCAATGAAGTTATATGAAGTGTTTCTTAAGAGTGGACTGCTTATTGAATACAAGTGAATGTAGACAATTATTTATACCTTGTTCAAAACCACAACAAAAAAGAAATGCCATTCAGCAGGTATTCTTTAACTTACGAATACTTTGTGTGAATATTAACAATTAAAACATATATCATAAAGGCATATAGATTTCAGGCAAATAAACAGAGGTTCATTATTCACATTATAATCACTGTTTACATAATTCAAGTAAACAATATTGTTTCGGTAATACGGTGTACAAAACACAACTATAAGTATTAAAGGCTAACATTTAAATTTAGCTCAAACGTGACTGAACGATAAGGACATTAAAATGAGATAATCCCTTAAACCAGAAAGGCAATTTATAACTGAGCCATATCAAACATTGTATTCCAGTAAAAAAAAATAATAATAATAATAAGAAGAAGAATTTCAAACAATTATAGTATATGAATTTTTAGATGTTTTTAATAACACTTTTATAATGCCAGCTGTTTAATTAACAGAACAATTTAAATGCGTCCTGTTTGACCTCCTTCACATCGGGATGCTGGCCATTCAGATGCATAGCTAAATTTGATGAGTTACTGCCTTTACTTTAATTTTGAAATGATGAATATCTTTGTTTGCAGACTATGTTTTTGTACATCAATGATCATCAATATCATCATCATCTGTCTCCAAAGCAAAGTATTCAGATTCTCACAACGTACTGTGAGCTCTGCAAATTCTGGCAGCTATCAAATTCTACTGTCACTATTTTGTACCAGTGGGCATCTCAAGTTTTCTTCTGTGTGCAGTAAGACAGGAATGTGTAACTCTAAATTGGTACTACAGATACCATAGTACTGTCTTTTTTTGTTTGTTTGTTTTGTTTTTGGCATCAGCGTGGCACCAGAATTTCTGCATAATTCAATTTTTGAGATGTAAACAACATCATTCAGAGGGGTTTGACATGAAATGGTTAATTGTGGAGAAACTTCTGCAGATTTCTTTTCATTGGGGGTGACAGAAACCATGTTGAAAATGGTAAAATATTAGTAACTTCTTAAAAATAAGTTTCCTTTAGATACATGTAAATTAGTTCTCATCACATCACAGAAACAAGAAATTCAAGAAATTCTGTTTTTGCAGCTTAGTTTTCATATACAGATTGTATGGACTGGGTAGGGAATAGTACATTTTGAAACATTAACAATGTTTACGTTTTTACTTCAAACTCTTCTCAAAACACTGAGAGACATTAATTTTACCTAAACTAAAAACGTATCTAACCATTGTAAAACAATATACTGGACAGTCTATTCATAACCATTTAATGTAACTGCTTTCTGTGGTTTTGGAAATACTTTGAAGGTCCAGTTGCTATTACCTCCGCCATGAACAATTCTAACTGAAGTTTCTCTAGTATAGCTAATTAGCCTATTTTCACAACCAACGTGAATAACTTTATCTTAATGATTTATTATACAGAATTTCTGAAAAATTGTTACACTGTTAAATCTTTCTTTTTTTTTTTTTAAACATTGCTTCATTTTACAGCCATCACTTCAATGAGGAAAAAAGCTTCCAAGAAGGGTCACCACCCATTGGTGATTGAATGCTTAGACGGAGTGAGTGTACTCACTGGTTTAAACGTAGTGCCTTGACAGCACGGCTCTCTGGGAAACCCATCTCCGTTAGCTGCTGCAGGGCGGTCTCATCCACCCGCTCCTCCTCATCCTCATCCAGCATGGCTTCAAAAAGGTAGGAGGAGAAAAAAGAAAAAGAGAAAGTAAATATGTTAGTATGGTACTTCAATAAATAAAATTAATGCCTTCAGGACAGCAGGATTTTAAGAGTCTTATGAGTTTACATGTACCTACCATTGGCCTTTTTGAAGAGCTCAACAGCGTCTGGGTTTAAAGCGAGTATTTTCTGGGCTACTTCAATCAGTGACACTAAAATCTTCCTCAGTTCTGTCTGAAACTGTTAAAAAAAAAAAAAAACACAAAGAAAGATATTTATTTTAATGCAAATACAATATTTTCACCTTTCAAATAATATCACCCAGCAACCAAAATTATCAATTATCAATAGCATGACATGAAACTGACACCTTTGTCATTATACACATATATATCAGAAAAAAATTATTTGGGTTTCATAGTACCCTGCATGTACCTCCTTGCCATTAAGTTAATTGAAACTTAATACTTTTTAGACCAAAACCTATAGACCCAAAACTTCCATGGAACAAAGTTTCGGGCATCAGGCAGCTTATTTCATGTAATAACTTTCTGTGAGGGAGCTTTGAAGACATTAAACTCTTCAGACGTCTGGTTCCTACCAACACCACTGTGAACAATTCTGACTTGATAAATGTCTCTAGAATGGCGCCTTTCACATCAAACCACTCTGAATGACTGATTTTGTCTTAACTACTGACTTTAACTGAAATTTGGAAAAATCAGTACAACCCCTCTTTAAGCTCTCATTTTACTGCTAGTCAATGAGACAGAAGATCTAGTGATTTAAAGTGACAGTTGGAGCACCAGTCCAGGTCTAACAATGCCTGCTATCACTCACGTCTCTGATGTTATGTTGAGTGACGGTGCGGTCAGAGTGGCGAGTGGACAGATTTGCTGTGGCCTTGAGAATAGCGTCCTTATCAGGAGCCTTGGTCTCCTGCTTCTTCTGTCAGCAAAGAGAAGAGAAACGAAAGAAAAGAGACTGAATAATTTATCTTGTTAACCAGTCTTTGCAGTGTCCAGCACTTGAAATACAGCTTTACGGCACAATAAAGTGTGCTTGATTGGCATCACAGTGGATTACCTTCTCTTCAGCAGCTATGTCCGCCATTTTTGCACGTGCTGGCTGTGGCCTCTTCTTTATCAATAACAGACAATCTGGAATCAAAAGAAGGGGTTTTATATCCTGTAAATGCAATCAGCTTTGTTGCAGTATGTGATGCTGGAGTTAATGGATCTGAAAACAGAAAGTCTGGAAAACTATATCAATACCTTTATCTTTAAGGTTTTCATCTGCAACAGTTTTGGTTTCCGTGAGAATCCTCTCACTAGCTGCATGAATGAGTTTGTGGTGTGTGAGTGTTTTAGGATCTTCTAAACTCCCGTGGGTACACTGCCAAAAAAAGAAATACAGTTTAGTAAACAATAAATGCCAGTTTCTATGGCAATGTGAAAATCCATGTGATCAAATGACTACAAGTGACAAAAGCTCACTTTATTAGCCATGATTTGATCAATTAGGGATTTTTTTTTCAGATTTGTGCTCAGATAATTTCAGATTACATATATAAAATGTTGAAATTTCAATATGTGTACAGACATCTACACAGTGAACAGCAGAAAACTGTACTACAGTAAACTTTTAAAATGGTCCATGTCCACTTGCAATATTTGTGTGGTTTTATGTACCAAAAATTAAATGATTAAAATGATTTATTTCAACATGACCATTTTCCAACCTCTCTTAATCCCTCAGAAATAAGTGCCTTTAAGACTGATATATAGAAATGATCCCAGTTCTGATTGGTTGCCCTGTACTGTACCTTATTAAAAAGCACTCCTTATAACTTCCACATGAACAGGTGAGCTAAAAGGCTGAATAGACAAATATGTAAATGGGTGACATCACAAAAAACACTTAAAACGCTTCAAATCAGGCTGTTTTTACAGCATATTTCTATACAATGCCTATATGAAAAAGAGAGCATATACATTTTGAAACTTTAATAATGTCTATATCAAACTCTTTTATTAAAAAAAAACCAAGGAAATTCAGTTTTCCATTATATGGGCCCTTTAAAGAAGCCCATTATCACAATGTAAACTTTGCACTTTCTTGACATTTTTTCAGATATTTTTTGTAATGAAATTTTATGTTGAAATGAATACAAATACCACAGTGACTGCAAAGTGGGATTTTGTAATTTTTATTTTTATGCATTTAACCTCTACGTTTAGTGCCAGCTGTCAATATCATTATGGACAGATACAAACACCAGCGGTCAGCAAGATATGAGTATCAAATTTTCAGTGTAGCTATAATATTTGTATGTCACACTGTTGGGGGTAAACACATATAGAGGTTGTGGACAGCTGCAAACTCGAAACTAGACATGGAGGCCAGTTTTCGGGTTGTAATAGGCTATCATTTCAGTCAAAATAACAAAAAGGCTCGGTCAGACTGTATCTAGCTGTAGCTAACCAACAAACTCCAGCCTCAGCTAGGTGACAGCCCAAGTCGCTGAATTATAAATAGCTCTGTCTACTCGCCTGCTGGTTTCTAAAAATACTTGGCAATGGCAGTGACGATCCCACAGGGCCTGTATGAAAGCCTTGACAGGCAGATGTAGACATAAAGCTCAAAAACAGCCCTGAAAGAAAGTGGACGAAGCTGAATTTGGCTTTCTATTCGCCAGCTTCTTGTTCGAATTTTCCCGTTCCACCTTAAATGGTGCAGCAGTTACGTTCTGGTGCTGGAGTCCAGAATGTAACTGCTGCACAATTTAAGGTGGAACGGGAATATGGGAACAAGCAGCTGGTGAAAGAAGCTGGCTGCAGCTTCGTAGAAAGTGGGAGAACACGACGCTCCCCGTCTGCCAACCAGTCAGCTACGTACATGCTTCAAGCATTTCTCCTTGAGCTTCTCTATGGTGGTGTCTTCGGTCACTTCCTCCAGCCACTCCGCGCCCTCCATGCTGCAGATGTGGATCTTCAGCACTTTCCCTGCGAATATCTTCTCTTCTTGCACGAACATGGCTCCTAACAGCGGCTCCGCAGCCTAAACCTGCATGAATGTGCAGAAATGTGCTCCACGGCAGCGGCTGGCTTCGGACTCCTTCAGCCGACACTGTATAACTAAATGAACAGGCTCCCGTTATTAACGTTACTCCATTGTCTTCAGCCTGTTAGCTCATCCTGAGCTAAAGCCCTCATTCCGAGTTTAATATATATATTTAAGTGTAAGTCTATTTTAATAGATATGTGACTTTAATATTTTTGGTCGCAGCCTGTTTTGTTGACACCTGTGATGCAGGCGACAACTGTACACGGAAGAGCGAGACGGTGTGACTGCGCATGCGCGGTTTTTCTCTGCCGTGTGATTGGAGGATTGGACTTTTTTTGTCTCGGTCATCGCTGCTATAATCTAACAGATGTTTTTTTTTATTATTTTATAAACAATGATATTTCTTTCACTGATAAGCTGTAAACAACAGGATCATATCAGTCCTTAAACAGCACTAGCAGCAACAAGTAAGACGTGTTCAATATTAGCCAACTGCATTCAAAGACACAGCAAACTGTGGGAAAAAATACATGTATTAACGTTATTCCGCCGAAATACACGCACGGGGGTTAATTTTCACACTACAGTTTCTAAAACTGAAAGGTTTTCAGGATTTAAAAAAAAGATTTAAACGAGTCATTTAGAAATGAGGCAAACGGGGGAGGGACTTTTAAACGATCTTCATTTATTTATAAAATGTTTCATTGACTGCAGATGACAGACGCATTTTTTGTTCTTAATATTTACATCTAGTATAGTAAAATATCATTATGTACGTATGTATGTATGTATGTGTGTGTGTGTGTGTGTGTGTGTGTGTGTGTGTGTGTGTGTGTGTTGTTCTTGATATGATGCTATAGAAAGCTGCCATGCTGGTCTTAAAGGGGAATTCCATCGATGTTTTCTTTTTTTCAAAATTTCTGCATAATGAAAAGCTCCATTCTAGAGAAACTTACTGAGTCACAGTTGTTTACAGTGATCATAGGTGTTTAATGGCTCTAAACGTTACCTCACAGAAAGGTATTTCACTAAATGATTACTAATATGTTGTGTGGGGTCTGATACATTGTTTTATGATGGTTTTGAGATATAGTTTTGACTTAAAACATAATTTCAAAAATCAATTAATGGTGGAGAGGTGCATGCAGGGGAGTTGTAAGGCAAATAAAACCTTTTTTTTGTTTCAGATTTTTTACCATTTTACCATTAACAACATTACACATAAAGACATGTGCAGACGTGTGTAGGTTCACTAGTCATTTTGAACAGAATGGAAATAAAATGGCTCTATGTATATTGTAGACATTATAACTGTTGGTTCCTGTCACCTCCACTGTAAAGAAATTTGAGCCAGTAAGTTTCTCTACAATGAAATATTTCACTTCTAACAACTCTGAATGACTACATCTCAGTGATTGAATTATGCAATAAAAATGGACAAATTCTGGGGATAAATGGAAAAAATCCGTTTTACTGCTGCATGAAGAATGCAAAGTTATACTTGCTTCTGAATCTGAACAAAATCTCACAAATTGTCCAGAGGTGTTATTTGAAGTACAGAGAAAACCAGTAGTGTTGCAGGTTTTTAAAAAAACCTATTGACAGTAAACATGTCAAGATAATGATGGTGACTTTCAACTGATTTTTAAAGCAAACTTTAACATTAACATTAACCAAAGGTTTTATTAACGACCTTATGTGTAGTTTACAGTGTCAGTGATGTTATAAAGGCCTATAAGGGCTTTGACAGTGCCCATAGGGACTCTTATTTTCATGCACAACCACTTAAAGGTTTGTGGTATATGTTACTTATATTTACACTATAAATATTATTGAATAAATCAATAAAAACTACAGTGAAGACCTTCTCGTTGTATGAAGCTTTACAATGTTGTTCCTTTGGTTAACCACTCCTGGTTAACTACGCCTTTTCGGAGTTGTTACTTCAGCTGCCAAGCCACTAGGCGGCGGTATCACCCCCGTCTTTGAATAAGACGTGCTTTTGAAGTCAGGGAAGAACACCATCACACTGAAAGTGAAGAGTATGTTCAGTTAGGCAAAGTTTTATGGTTGTAGTTTATTTTAGACAGAAGTCTGAACCCGACACTGGAGCCCGTCTAGGAGCGCAGCAGAGAGATCATTTAGTGGACAGTGTTTTGGTTGACAAGCCGTCAGTATTTCTCTGTTGTAGGAACTGAGCAGGAAAGTCTCCGTGTTGCTGCAGCTCGGATAACTAAATTCACTCGGACAGTGACGGACAGCGAAGGAGGAGCTGCGGAAATGTGTTAAATGTGTTAAATGTGTTAAATGTGTTAGTACCCGCTCTTTATTCCTGTAAATTACCTCTCCAAACCAAATATGGCCAAACACAAAACATCCAAGAAAATGCTCATCATTGAGGATGATGGTGAGTATCATCGCTCCTTCTCTGTTTCAGGCAGAATACTTCAGTCAGCTAACCTAAACCGGATTATGCGAAAAAAACTGGATTGAAAACTGTTGTATCTTATTTTATCCTAGCATGTGATTTTATGCCATCATGTTGCATTGTTTGTATAATGTGCTACATACGTACACTTCTCTTTTAAAAATGCATTTACTTTTTTTTGTTGTTTTCTTTTTTTTTACGTCAAACAAACCATATGGCAAAAAAAGTCATCACTTAATTCATCATATCAGGCTTTTGTTCACTACTACTGGCTTTTAACAAAACAACAATACTATTTGTGTAAGAAAAATACATATAATGACATAATAACCATTGTTGTAATTAGTAATATAGTATGTTCTTTGTGTGATTTCAGACCCTGTAGAGGAGCCAAAAGAGGGTGGGGATGAACTGAACCCCTTCTCTTTTAAAGAATTCATACGGAGCAAAAATCAACAGTTCAGCACCACTGATGGCCTTGAGGTGAACTACAATATGAATTGCTCAGGCTAGTTCCAGGCTTTGTTGAGACAGCTGGTATCTTTAGAGTCTGTGCTGCCTCTGTTTATTTTGTAACAACAGATAATGTCAAAGGTTGAACTGTAAAATAAGCATTTTAAATGGGTTGGTTCAGATAATTGGGGAGTGGATTATGGATTGGTTATTTAGCAATTATATATATGTATATGTATAAGTGTGTAATTATTATTTCTACTTTGATTGGTCTTTTCATTTACATAGAACAAAGTATATTTTCTCTGGTCATGACATATAGATTTGACATGAAGAATTCGTGATACATCCAAGTCAAATTGTGTGCAAATATCATAAATGGATGAAAAATAAACTTTTTGTAATAGACTTCTTAATTAATATCACATAATGAATGGAAATGAGGAATGGAAGTTACTTAAACCCCAACAGCCAGTATGTGGGTCCAGTAGTTATTGAAGAATAAATCTCAAGGTTAATGACTGAATAACAAGTCTAGGGTTCAAGGAGTCAAGAATGATAACGTCTAAATTTCTTGTTATTTTTATGCCTGCAGAAAACATATGGCAGTGCCTGTCAAGCAAAGGACGAATATAACTACCCCAGAGGCCTCGACCACAGACATAAGGGTCAGTTTTTCACAGATCCTTCATTGCTTGGTCAGTCCTTTGATAACGAACCTGATGATGAGTGGACTGAAAGTTATCAGCCCTCAGCAGTTGAAGAGGCGCACGAGTTAGGACTGTGTGGCACATTGAAAAGCGGTGCTTACCTGGATCACTCATTACTGTCCAACGAAGACAAGGATGACACGGAAAATGAGTGGGCGCTAGACGAGGGCTTCTCACCAGAGACTCATTTCCACAGGAGAAGCACTGGCAGCTATGAAGGAGATGAGGAGACATCAGTCATTGATATCTCTTACCACACTAAAAAAAGCAGTGCAGAGAATGGGGTTAGGGACCAGCAAAAGGTAGTGAGATTCTGCAGCATTTATTTGTTTATGATCTTTGTTATTATGAACATGGCATATTTTAATGTATGCCATAAAAATGTGAGTCATACATTTTAACATTTTGTCTTTTCTAGCTGAGAGAAGAAAATTCTCAACTTAGGAAACAAATCAAAGAACTGATAAGGAAGTCAGAGGCTGACTCTACAAAGTAAGAGTGAATACACAAGTAGCATTTGTGTTTTGTTTTTTTTTTGTTTTTTTTATTTAAACCAGTTCAATTTTAAATGTCCATTGGTCCATATGTTCTGAGCTTGCCTGTGCTCAAATCTTAGAAAACATTATAACAGATTAAACCATTCATCACTTAATTTATTATATAAATCTAGTCTCTTTTAGTCAACAGGAATACTGATTTTTGAAAAAACAACAGAAAATCCGTGTTTGATTGTTAACAAAAATATAAAAATGGCATGTAATCAGAAACATTCAAATGGGCACTGTTAGATATTCCTCCAAGGTTTAACAGTACCAAATTTCATCACTTTAGACCAATCAGAAAACATTTCTGTGGTATTTTTCACCATGCTAAACTTTTTGGGTGCTTAGTTGTTGTGATGCTAATCTATGATAGCTTCTCCATATAGAGTCTTTATTATCTTAGGTCACAGGTGACGTAGCCTAAGTAAGAGTATTCTGTGCTTTATTTTAAATATGTAGATCTAATCAGAAAATCTATCAATGTTATTCAGGATCAGACAACTCACAGATGAGTTACACAACCGAAAGTTGCAAGAGGAGAGAGAAGCCAAAGCCTTAGAGACAATGGTGCAATCTGTGGAACAAAACCTTCAGCTAATGACGGTATGCAACTGTCTCCATTTTCTTTACTTTATATAACAGTGTAATTTAACCATGTAACCATAACATTCCATGCACAACAAATTCAAGCATTCTTTTATTTCTTAAACAGAAACGGGCTGTTAAAGCTGAGAACAATTTATCTAAATTGAAGCAAGAGGTCCAGCAACTCCAGGTTTAATTTTTTTTCTTTTTAATGTCTTGTCCTGTATTTAAACTTGCCTCATTATGAACTACAGTACTGTGGAAAAATCAGAGACCGCCATCTTTTTTCTATTTTGTTGTCAAAACATCTATTAGGTACAAGTTATTCATTTTTCAGGAGAAATTTCTGAGGAGATTGTATGTAATATAACCCACTTGCATTATGAATAGGAAAGTCACTGGAAAATCAGTTAAAAAAAAAAATTAAAGTTGTAGAGAAAACAGGATCTCCCGACAATGATGCAAAACCTGGCAGATGACCATCACTGTATCCATCAGTTAAACAGTACTCAAAGGTTTTTCTCTTTGAGAGAGAGGAGAAAATCAAGCTCCACTCCTGCTTCAGATCTAAAAAAAATCCACAGGTGTTTCTGCCCATCCTTTCACTGTGAAAAGACAACTCAAAGCTGAGAAAAGGAAAAAAGGAGAAAAAAGAAAACTTACAAATCAAACAAAGAAGCTGCTGCTGTTCTTAAAACAATGCTCTGACCCCTCCATAGTCCAGACCTCAACACTATTGCTTAAGATTACTTGGATTATGAGAAGCAGAAAATGCAACCAACTTCTAAGGCTGAACTTTGCAGGTATGGAAAAATATCCCTGCAGATTTCTTTGAAAAACTGAAAGCAAGTCTCAGAAAAGAATGGAAGCTGTAGTAAAGGACACAGTGAGTGCTGAAAAAAATTAAATAATATTTATTTGTTGAGGCTGCAGCGTTCTGCTTTTTCTTAATGCTGAAAAATGAATAACCTGTACTTTATTTGACTGTAAAATTAAGGGTGGTCTCTGACTTTTTTGCAGTACTGTACGTATTACTGTGCGTGTTATCCAGGTTTTGTTTTTTAATTTTAGACTTAAAATCTATTTTTTCCAGAACCAGCTAGAGGGATACAAATGTGAAAATGAGCGGCTTCGAGCAGGAGAAACTGCTGCCTTATCCACAATGAGGCACAATGCACAAATGGCATCAGAATACCTGAACAAAGCGGCCAAAGATGCAGAGACTTCCATTAAGTATGCTGAAAATACTTTCTTTCAGATCTATTACATTTGTACTAAACCACAACAAGTGTGTCAACATATTTGATGAATTACATTACATACACCATAGTGATTAGATGCACAGTATGTATTGAACTACAGTATGCTTATCTGTTCACAGGCAGTTGCTGACAGGAAGAGAGACTTTATGTCTCGTATCACAACTGCTGGGTTCCATTGACAAGATCACAGAGATTCCAAAATAACATTGTTATATATCAGTGTGTTGTGCCTTTGTTCATCTCACTTAATGTTTTCTCTCTTTTTTTGGCTTTTGCACACAATCAGATGTCTTTCACATATACTGAGTAATAGTTGTTACAATCAGAGTGTTATTCTCTTTTGCAGTTATACTATTATATTTAATCTTTTAACAAATTATTTCTTTTGCCAGTTTTCTGTCCATTTTAAGTCAGATCTAGAGACTGTTGTAGGTCTCTAAACTGTCACTCCAGAGCACCACCAGTCTGTTCAGGTGAAAGCTCATGTATGCTTTCCTCTTATATGGATGCAAAATCTTTTCAGATTTGAAACAACATTGTTAAACGGTTCAGTTCCCCTGGAAGAGAACACTAGCTGCTTACATGGACACAGGAAAGTTGAACCCTGTTATTCTTTCCCGCTAAAGCCAGTCAGCCTATTGCACATATAAGGAGAGCATATGTCACAACTGGGATTGTGATCCCAGTCCAAACATCATATTAATATTGATGTTTCACATGCACCTCTTCACTACAGAAGTGGTAGTGAAAGGCGTTACATTTTACCCTGTACCAATATTTTATGGTATGCTTTTAATTATGTTTTCAAAATGTGTACACTTTTGAGCACATACATTTTGTAATAGTATATTATACTAGTGTAATATGCACCAAATCATTTATAAAAGGTAAAACACCATTAATACATTTGGCAAGTTAACGCCACCTATATTGATATTAACAGGACTTTTTTCTTTCCCTGGATGCTTTTATACATTGATAAGTTTTGTTTTCAGTGTATGCACTGTATGCACGTTGCACTTCTAATAGATCAAGAAGTCATAAAAAACATCAAATACATTTTGCTGTGTTGTGATTTTATTTTATCTTCTTGTACCCACTTACACTCTTTTATATCCTTGTGATTTTGATGACAATATTGTACTAATTTAATAACGGAGATTAGTGGAATTTATTCTGTGTTTTTAGTCATGTGTTTATGTATTTCGATTTTTTTAGAAATACTATTTTCAAATGAAATGCTGTTAAGACTGATGAATAAATGTATAAAACTTTACTGTGGTCCAGTTTTTTAGTACTTATTATTTAGTGTTTACTCACTTAGAAGCTGATTTCAGTGTTTAAAGCGAATATACCAAAAGGAACAGGGGCTTTTATTTTGAAATACTTCCACAAATATATGCTAGAATTACTTTATTAAGGTCGGTATTTTCAATTTTACTGTATAAAAATGTCTCAACAAGTTTGAAGAAGTTTCTGCCGTCTGAGGTAGGAAAGACTAATGCTTGACGTACATTTACCTTGCTCATATCTGAGTGTGGAGGCTCCAGAGTTGCAGTATGGGTAATATGCTAATTAGCTGTTACCTGCAGGGAAAGGAGTGTGAGTTTGAAATGCTTGACGTGGAATATGTGTACATTTATGTGAAATTGGATTTTTTAAAGTTTGTCGGGAATATAGATGCTTTGAAATTGAGGACTATTATACTACTTATACGCTGAACTGTGTGTATGTCTAATTGTACTGAATGGGATGAAATGGAATTCAAGTATTGGGGATAATTAATGTATTCAGAATACAGACATTCAGTAGCTGTATTCAGTCCAACTTACATTTTGTAAAGGCAGTGTATAGAATACAGTTACTTATCTTCTTAGAAGAATACCTTTAGAATACTTACTCACTAAAAAAGCAGAAACTCCATCAATTCTTGTTCATGAACTATATTATAATCAGATTAGAATCCCACTAAAGACAGAGCAGACTTAACCCTACTGTTACTTTCAAATTTACTAACATTTTTTATCCTTGGGGTCAGTTTGACCTCAGCAGTTTAAACCTCCCACAGACAACCAACACACCAATTCCTCAACAGAACAAGAAACCACAGACAAGGCCCATTTTGATGGTTCCCTGGGCTTTTGTTATAACTTATTTAAATATACATCAGGGAGTACTCCCCCCACAGCCTGCTGGACCAGGAATATTACCTTTTCTGCAATCAGGTACACAGGGTACAACACAAACTCTTCAGCCAGGACTGTAGCTGGTAGTACCAGTAGAACCTGGTAAATCAGCACAGTTGGCAGCCCCTACCATGACCTCAATATGTAGCCCATCCTCTACAGAGAATGCAGAGAAAGCAAGGGCTTCATCAAGCAAAAGCAAGCCCACAATGAAAGCCCAGGCCTTGATGGAAAAATTTAAAACCAAGGCTTCCAAGAAAAGGTCTGCTAAAAGTAACCAAAGTGGTGGTGATGCCCCTGCTATATTAAAACAAACTACAGCTTGGATTCTCAGTTCTGTTGGCTTGATGCCTGTTCAGCTACCTTCTCCTGTTATCGTTGGTAATCAAAGCCAAGTAACAGTGTTCTTCAGGTGTTACTTCAGCCACCTGTCCTAGTTACCAGAATTTCACCTCCTGAAATACAATGTAATCAAAACCAAAACATCTTGAATGTTGTCCCTCGAGTGCCATTTCCATCACCTATAATTTTGAGCCAGAGTGTTCCCCATGTAGTTTTTCCCTTTCAATTCATTATGTTGGTAATGTTGTCAGTGTCTCTACAGCTTCTACTGTCACAAGTGCACCTGTCATCCCTCCAGTTCAACTTTTTGCTTTGAACAATCCAGTCCTGTAGTCCAGATGGCTTCTCCTACCGTCTTAGGTAATCAGAATGTCAGATTGTGTTTCTCAGGTGGTCGTTCAGCAACCTATCCTGGTAAATCAAAATGGTTCTTTGGCACTCGTAAGTGCTGCTGGACCACGCAGAGTGAAAGCAAGCAGCATACTTTTTACTTGAGAACAAGACATTAATAAAAGTTCTTTCTTTGGGTTCTGTTGAACTGTTAGTAAGTTATTGCTAATTAAGTATATGTTATTAATGCTCTCAGCATTCGAATAACATTCTTAAGTAGCAATAACTAATTGTGAATTTCATTGCCTGTACTAAAGTACATAACTTTTTTTTTAAACCTGTGTAAAATATTTATTGAGTTTTATGTTTATGTTTTTGTCTGAAGAATAATTTCAAACTATTACTTATATCATGTTCCACAGTACTTGAGTACTTATACTTGAATTATTTGAGAGGTTATTTTCTCTACGTCTGAACCTTTCCACCTTGTTGATATATGTTTACAATCATATCTTCTGTCCACAAATGTTCAAAGATCCATAACTGTAATCTTTACATTTTCTGAATGAAAGCTATTCTTCTGCTGACAACAACAATTTATGAATAAATAATCTACAAATTATTTATCTATTAAGTCTGTTGCGTCATATTTTGAATGTGATTAATTGCTCCTGCATATTGGGGTGATCAGTGAAATCAGTATCAGCATTTTAAGTGTTTTTCTTCCCCTCTGGTTATCGTTCTACCTTCTGCTGCAGTTATTTACTTCAGTAAACCTGCTTTTTGATTTTTAAGTACACAAGAATCACTTTCCTTTTTCAAGATCCAAATTGTTCATTCTGAAATGGCCAGCTTGTTGCTATGGTTCCAAGCTTAATGCTTTTCTCTTAAGTCCTCATACAGTCTCTACACTTCTGGGAAGTTTGTGACTGCATTCAGCCACAAGACCATTAGTGAGGTCAGGTAAGGATTTTGGATGTTTAGTTCTCCAACTCATCCCAAACTTATTTGCTGGTGGTCTGTCACTCTAAAGAATGCACAATTTCACTGCCCAATGCTGGGGGAATTTGTACCCCTCTAGCTGACACATGGGTATGGCAGTTTTAGGCACATTTGTGCCTAAGCTAATTTTAGCAATGGATGGACCATAAACCAGCTGAATTCAGTAATTCAGTAAAAGGGGTGTCTACAAACTATTGGATATATTGTAGGCAATGGAGACAAACTCTTCTCAAATTCTGAGTGTACTGATATTATTGTCATTATTATTATTATTATTAGTAGTAGTAGTAGTAGTAGTAGTAGTAGTAATAGTAGCAGTAGTAGTAGTACTAGTAGTATTTTATCTCAAGGGACAAGTAAAAAAAGCAAAACTTCAGAGCACTTCTATATTGAAATATATCTGAAAACTCAGATTACATTAAATTTCAAATAAACTATATGTGAAGTTTAATTTTTGCTTAATTGGTTTGTACAGAGAATCTAGTATGATGTAATATCTCTCTCCTGTGACCTACTGCCAGAGAAAGTGTTACATAAACTGTCACTGCTGGCCTCTATAACACAAGTTTCAGCTGTTTTTCCCAAAGAGCCATTTGTCAAGGTTTGTATTTGTGCCATTCCTGCTCTGAGAGCGCTGATGGACTGGCAACCTGTCCAGGGTGTTTCCTGCCTTCCTCCCAGCGACTGCTGGGAAAGGCTCCAGCAACCCCCATGACCCAGAAGGATAAGCGGCTTAGAAAATGTGTTTGTGTGTGTGCTCTGAGATTTCTACTGTGATGAAACCGCCCTGCTGAAAAAAAACATTAGAACCGTTAGAATTAAAACCTGATGGTTTTGTGTCCTAATAGGCATTGGCATTAGCCCATCCTCTACAGAGAATGCAGAGAAAGCAAGGGCTTCATCAAACAAAAGCAAGCCCACAATGAAAGCCCAGGCCTTGATGGAAAAATTTAAAACCAAGGCTTCCAAGAAAAGGTCTGCTAAAAATAACCAAAGTGGTGGTGATGCCCCTGCTATATTAAAACATACTACAACAAACATTAGAACCATTAGAATTAAAACCTGATGGTTTTGTGTCCTAATAGGCATTGGTTTAATGCTTACCATTAGACACCACTAGTTTCTTATAGGACACATTTGGATTCATTTAGGAAGCCAACAAATGCATCTGGAATCAGCTGCAGAGCACTTGTTAACCCATTAGAATCCTTTACATTATGATATTAATGGTTTTAATGGTTTCTATGATTTTTTTTCCGCAGGTTGGGGTAGTTATCTACCACTTGATGGACATAGTGGCCTATTTACCTCAAGCTCTCTGTAGAAAGTGGTCCATTGGTGTTGTTCTCCTTTACCAGCCAAGAGAGACTCCGAATTATCCTCTGCCTTTTTTTAATCTTAATTGTATAATCTGGTGTGCAAAACAGATTAACAAATCCCAAATGCAACAAATTCATAAACATGTTTGTTGATAAATATTTAAAATCACATGTCAATCTGGGCTGCGGCACAGAATAAACAAAAACATAAAAATAATATAAAATATAGAAAGTAAAATAAACAGAGGTTTTTTGAATGACAACCTGGCACTAATAACCAAGTTTTTGTTGTTGTAAAATAAAAGTTGTAACTTTTGTAACTTTTTTGTAACAAATTGCTTTTATGAAGTTGTTAAGGAGTCAAAATACTACACACTATACGTGTTGCGGCATGCAAGCTAATTCTCCAGTGCACTGAATTAACATCATAAGAAAACACACCAGGTTGAGAACATTTTTGTTTATCACAGATTGCTACAATGGCGGTTTTTGCCATTCATTTTTTACATGGGCAAAAATAGTTTAGACCCGGAGTTTGTTATTGTGTTCCATTTGATCCTAAAATATTTAAAAGGGTTGAGGCCAGGCCTCTGTGCAAGTCAAGTTCAACACCAAACTTGGTAAACCATTCTTTATGGACCTGTGTACAGCGGTACTGTCATGCTGAAAACAGAAAGAGGTCTTCCCAAACCATTGCAGCAAAATTGGAAGCACACAAATATCTAGAATGTTACTGTATGCTGTAGATTTCCCTTCACTGGGACCATTATCTCTCTGACAAATTTTACAGTTGCCACTTTGCATTCAGGCAGTTACTGCTCTCCCGACATCTGCCAAACCCAGATTAATCTGTCAGACTGCCAGATGTCAGCTTACCTTGTGATGACTTTGCTTCTAGAGGCAGTTTGAAATTCTGTAGTGAATGTTGCAACAGAGGACAGATTATTTTTACATGCTATGTGCTTCAACACTCTGTGGTCCTGATCTGTGACCTTGTGTGGTCTACTGCTTCATTCACTTACAGTCGACAGGGGCAGCTCTAGCAGGCAGTACCCCCTAACTAGAAGAGTATGGTGTATTTTTTTTTAAGA